GAAGAATGTCTGAAAAATGTTCTTTAAACTTCAGCTGCAATAGATTAAAGATAGCTTGGGACCAGGAGTTTGAGACCAGCCTGAGCAACATAGCGAGACCTGGTCTCTAAAAAAAATTTTAAAAGAAAAAAAAGCTTTAGTTTTAGTGACTTCAGTAAGTGATTTTCTTAAAGTATTATGTCTGTTTCATGAATTCTGATGATTATTTTTTGTTACAGTAATTGGCAGGAAATAGACAGTCATTGAGAGTCTTTGCTGCCTTGAAGTTCTTAATAAATGCAATACGTTACAGTAACTCATTTTTTTCAATCCTTAATGGACTTTTCAAGGGGGTAATATTTTGTATTTACCATAAAATGTGTTTGTGGCAGTACACATTAATACGGTTTTGGTTGTTTATGATTTTTATTAGAGATTTGTTTTTTGCAAACTAAGAACCAAAAATGGCTAACAGCTGTGGAATGGAAAACATAAACATTAACTGCAGGGAATTAATTGTTCAGGGATTTCAGTATTTAAAAATTTTTGTCTTTTCTTTTTTTTTTCTTCTTCCAATCTTTATTTTTTTTTTAATTTTTTTTTTTTACTTCAGCATATTACAGGGGTAAAAATGTTTAGGTTTACATATATTGCCTTTGCTCCACCTGAGTCAGAGCTTCAAGCGTGTCCATCCTCCAGATGGTGTGCACCGCACCCATTAGGTGTGTATATAGCCCCCCATCTGCCTGACCCCCAATGAATGTTATTACTATATGTGCACTTAAGTGTTGACCAGTTAATGCCAATTGGATGGTGAGTACACGTGGCGCTTGTTTCTCCATTCTTCACTTAGTAGAATGGGCTCCAGCTCTATCCAGGATAATACAAGAGGTCCTAGTCACCACTGTTTTTTGTGGCTGAGTAAGAACTCCATGGTATACACATACCACATTTTATTAATCCACTAATATATTGATGGGCACTAGGGTTGTTTCCACATCTTTGCAATTATGAATTGTCCTGCTATAAACACTCTAGTGCAGATGTCTTTTTAATAGAATGTCTTTTGTTCCTCTGAGTAGATGCTCAGTAATGGGATTGCTGGATCAAATGGTAGTTCTACTTGTAGCTCTTTGAGGTATCTCCATATTACTATCTACAGAGGTTGTACTAGTTTGCAGTCCCATCAGCAGTGTGTGAGTGTTCCTATCTCTCCACATCCATGCCAACATTTATTGTTTTGGGACTTTTTGCTAAAGGCCATTCTCACTGGAGTTAAGTGATATCTCATTGTGGTTTTGATTTGCATTTCCCTGATGATTAGAGATGTTGAGCATTTTTTTGGCCATTATTCTGTCTTCTTTTGAAAAGTTTCTGTTCATGTCCTTTGCCCACTTTTTGATAGGTTTGTTTGATTTTTTCTTGCTGATTTTCCTGAATTCTATATAGATTCTAGTTATCAGCCCTTTATCAGATGCATAGCATGCGAATATTTTCTCCCACTCTGTAGATTGTCTTGTTTGCTTTCATGATAGTTTCTTTGGCTGTATAGAAGCTTTTTAATTTGATCAGGTCCCATTTATTTGTTTTTGTTGTTGCTATGATTGCCTTTGGGATCTTCTTCATAAATTCTTTGCCTAAGCCTATGTCTATAAGAGTTTTACCAACATTTTCTTGTAGAATTCTTATAGTTTCAGCCTTAGGTTTAAGTGTGTTATCTACCGTGAGTTGATTTTTGTGAGAGGTAAAAGATGTGGATCCTGTTTGGGGGCAGAAGAGGTCAAACTATCACTCTTTGCCGATGATATGATCTTATATATAGAAAACCCCAAAGATTCTGCCATGAGACTACTAGAATTGATAAACAAATTCAGCAGAGTCTCAGGTTACAAAGTCAATGTACAGAAATCGGTAGCATTCCTATACGCCAACAGCAGTTATGAGAATCAAATCAAAGACTCAATAACCTTCACAATAGCAACAAAGAAAATAAAATACTTGGGAATATATTTAAATAAGGAGATAAAAGACCTCTACAGGGATAACTACGAAACACTCAGGAAGGAAATAGCAGAGAACGTAAACAGGTAGAAAACTATACCATGCTCATGGGTTGACAGAATAAACATTGTTTAAATGTCTATACTACCCAAAGTGATCTACAGATTCAATGCAATCCCTATTAAAATACCAGCATCATTTTTTGCAGATCTAGAAAAAATAATTCTATGCTTCATATGAAACCAGAGAAGACCCCATATAGCAAAAGCAATCTTAAGGAAAAAGAACAAATTGGGAGGCATCAATTTACCAGACTTCAAACTATACTACAAGGCTATAGAAACTAAAACAGCATGGTACTGGCACAAGAACAGAGACAGAGACCAATGGAACAGAACTGAGAACCCAGATATAAAACCATCCTCATATAGCCATCTAATCTTTCACAAAGCAGACAAAAAAATACACTGGGGAAAAGAATCTGTATTCAATAAATGGTGCTGGGAAAATCGTCTTTTCTTTTTAGAAAAAGATTGACTTAACTACTTTAAGCTCTGCTATTCAGATCGTAGACTAATTTGTTTTAGATGATTCTAACCTTAGTATTTACTTATAATTTTAATTACTAATTTTAAGACATTAGATTTTTCCAAAGTTAATGGACATTTTTGACTTTTACATATGTTCTTATAGGTGCCATGATATCATTATTTTATTTTATTTTATTTTATTTTATTTTTGTTATATCATAGAAAAATTTATTTTGTTAAAACAGCTAGAACTTTGGGATATTTTAATTTTAGAATATTTATCATTGTAGTGTTGTTTTCTTTTATCTCTGAGGACTTCCTAATCTTTAATTTTTCTTGTCAGTAATTGTCCAGTGTAATAGTTACTCATGTTTTATCAACCTTTATGGTTTACAAAGCATTTCACATGTATTTTTATCATTTAATCCTCATAGCAACCTTAGTGATCAGTATTATCACCCCTACCCTTTGTAGGTGAGGAAGCAGGCTTAGAGGTGGTGACTTATCTCAGCTATAAATGGAACTGGATTTCCATCTCAAAGAGCCCTGCCTCCGGGGATTCTTTCCATTCTGTCACTACTGGTGGTTAACCTTTAGTTTGATCGTGCCTCTACAATTTTCAGAAAAGTAGTAGTTTTGTTCTAGATTTCCAAACTTAAGTCATTTTAGAAATTAAGTAAATTACCTGTAAAGCAATTATTCTGAACAAGCTGAAATTTTGCCCCACCTCCCATTCCTCCCCCTAGGGACATTTGGTAATGCCTGGAGAAATTGTTGATTGTCAAAACTTGGGGTGGGGGGGGCAGGAAAGTGTTACTGGCATCTAGTGTGTAGAGACCAGGGAGCTGTTAAAAAGTGTATAGCACAGCCCCCACCACAAAGAATGATCTGGCCCACAATGTCAATAGTGCCAAAGTTGACTAACCGTGCTGTGAAGAATAAGACCTTATTTACCCATTCTTAAATGTAATATCCAAACCCTCCCTCTCTTCTTGTATATCTGTAATATTGTTCTCCCCCTTATCTCCCAAAATTATTTAAAATCTAGTTTTTGAGGTAGTTTATCATAAAGATGATTATCTTTCATAGCATATGAACTATATGATGTATTTTAGTATTGTTGTTAAGAATTTACATTAATACTGCTCTAAAAATGTTATATTGAGAGTTTTCTGAAGAATAGTTTATGTTCCTGGGTGGGAGAAGAAAAATTACATCAAAGCACAAATATTTTATTTCAAGCCAATATTTTTAATGATATTTTTCTTATTTTCTGATTTTACTTATGTTGAATGCCAGTAAAAATACATAAAGTACTGTTTTATACAGAGCTTTCAGTTTTTGTCTGTTTCATTTCATGCTCTGCCTATCCCGTTATACTAGGTGTATTTCTCAGAGTTACCCAGTTTGTACATATTTGAGGAGGCAATTTGGTGTAGAACTGATAATGTCCAGGCTCTTCCAAGCAAGGTCTTCCAAAGGGATATCTTGAAAATGTTCCTTAGCGTTGAGGTGACAGTGTTAATAACCTAACAATTGCCATGCTATTAAAAACTTATAATAACTGATAATAAAAAATGTGAGTTACAGATTTTATATAAACACTACACGTTTTTATAGAGGTTTTGTAATCAGAGAATAATAATTAAAAAAGAAAAGCACATGCGATAGCCCAAAACCAGCTCTTATGAATAGCATGTGAGTTGGTAATGAATGAACACTTACTGAAGGCTTTATTTTAAGAAGTTATTTTATTTTATTTTTTATTTTATTTTATTTTTTTGAGACAGGGTCTTACTCTGTTGCCCAAGGTGGAGTGCAGTAGCATGATCATAGCTCACAGCACCCTTGAGCTCCTAGGCTCAAGTGATCCTCCTGCCTTAGCCTCCTGAGTAGCTGGGACTACAGGTGTGCACCACCACACCCGGCTATTTTTTTTTAATTTTTTGTAGAGATAGAGTCTCACTGTATTGCCCAGGCTGGTCTCAAACTCCTAGGCTCAAGTGATCCTCCCACCTCGGCCTCCCAAAGTGCTGGGATTATAGGTATGAGCCACCACACCCAGCCAGAAGTTAGTTTTAAACATAAAAGACAGGCTCTAAGACATGAGAACTTCAATATAATTATGTCAGTCCATACTTCAACATGATTAGAAATATTACAGTACTACCCAAGTTATTAAAGAATAAGCATAGTATAATGTACTCTTTATATAACCGTCCTTGTCAACTTTGTTTTCTAAAAGCAAATGAAAGAGCACAAATTTCGCTAAGTCAAGCATTCCATTTACAGTACAGTTCTTTTTAAAATGTGCTTGATAAAGTGTTAAATACTGAATGTCTTATTTTTTTGTTACTGAGAAAGGAATGTTCAAGCATGAGATTTATGCAAAATAATTTTTATGCAAAAAGAAACAATAGATGCTTGTTTCTCTTAATCCTTATGTATCAATGGCAAAATTCTGTGGAAATTTTTTGTCATAAAATAAGCCAGTGGACTTATTACCACGTTGGAATAGGTTTTTGCTTGTGTGAATAATACCACTGTTAATAATAGAGTTCAAGTATTCCAAATGTAAGAATTTTTGAATTTTATATTAAGTGGACGTTAGTTATTACTTTCTGAAGTTCGCAAGCTGAACGCTCATTCTGCTCAAAACACAACGAAATGCTGCAGGTTGCATTTCCCAGTACTTCACCGGGTTGTTGAATAAACTTATTGCACTGTATAAAGATTTCTTCATCTTTGGCACTACTGGACAGAAGTCATTCACTCCCACTTTTGTAATCGAGTTAGAATGAAGGAAGATTATCTGTTGTGGTAGGAAAAAAGAACAGATTAAAAATACCCAGTAAATGTAAAAGGAGAATATTCTGTTTATAGTCAGCATTTGTTTGTGGGTTTATTCATCTGTTTATTTTACATTGGCTTGAATGTATTATCACTTAAAGCAGATGTACTGGCTTATGCATGTTAAATACCTATTATAACAATTCAAGCTTATGTACGATACACAAAAGTGTTTTGGGGTGGGGTTAGGGGAGAGGAGTGGCATAGGACTTGTGCCAAGGCCTACAGCGTACTATGGTCAGTTCGGTCACTTTCCTTCTCTGTTTCTCTATATATTTCCATATATATACACATAAACACATATAAATTTATATACATGTATATGGTTATTTATAATAATGCATTTAAAATGTATTAAAAATGATTAGAAGAATGAAACTTAATGCTTTAAGAATTAGGCTTACAATATGAATATGAAGAATTATTAGCTATCATTTTCTGTGATAGAGAAGTGTAGAACTGCATTTTTGTAAGTTTTGTCAAAAGATATATCAACATCTTAAATGCATATTTGTAATACAGCATCAATAGTTGAAATCGTAATTTCATTTTTACTAGTGGACAAGTAACAATTTTATAGACTGAACATGTCTTTTTAAATTAAATTATTATTTAGAAAGATGGTGAATGTAGGAAGTTTCCTTCATTCCCTTTAACAATCCTAATTCCATCTTTGTCCTTTTTGGGCAACAGTGAAATTTCTGGAAATCTACTCAACTGACAGTATTTTGGCATATTGAAAAGTAGGAGCCTTTTGCTGGTAAAGTTGAGATATCCTCTCTGCCTATTGTTACCTCTAGATTTTGCCTTTACATCTTACTAAGATTTATATGAGCCCAATCACAAAAACTCTAGGCATTGCTAAAATATTTAAATTTGGTGTTCAATCCCCCAGCTGCTCAATATCAGTGCAAGGTATAGTTTACCATAGTACTGACCTCACTGGGAATCAAAACATGTGCTGGACATCACTGTGTTAAAGTATGTGGACATTCATTGAATTGTACACTTATGACTTGTGTTCTTCTCTGTATGTGCTATAATTCTGTTCAATAAAAAAAACACTAGCAAGACTATAGGTAGATTTAAGAGACACTAGAAGTTGGAATCAGAGTTGTGGAGCAAAGTAAGCAGAAATAAGATCAGAGATGGACAGCTTTAGAGAGGACAGATTCAGGTTGTGCTCACTGGCTAAACAGACATCCAAATGCAGCATTTGGAAAAGTGAAAGCAAAAGTTGTTACCTTGAGATTGGCTCCTTCTGATATAGCACGTTTATTATGATGGCTTGTGTCTCAAAGGAGGACAGTGAACAAAAGTTGTTTAAAGATAGATCAGAAAGAAATCTAGAAGAAGCACAGTGGCTCAATGCCCAGGTTTGTTCTCAGTGTCTTTTGCTTCTTGGGAGAAGAGGACTTCTGTTCTCGGAGGATCTAAAGCTTTATCAGATTCTCCAAGGAATTTGTGATCCCTTCCAGCCTAAGAGTTGCCAGATTGGTAGGAAAATGTTTCTAATAATTGAAGAACAACAAATGACAAAATGTGAACTCACGATGTTCTAAATAGTGACTTTGGTTAGTTATATACTGTATTCTGGCTGGAATATTTTAAAAATCATATACACCTCTAGTGACACACTAATAGTGAAAATACCTGGAGCCTAATCCTTCTTGCTCTGCCTTGTGAAATGTTTCCAGAGTAAAAGGACATACTTTCCTGCTCAGTGTCCTGACTATTCTTGCTTCCATGTGGCTACTCCCACCCCAGAAATCTGACATTAGCTGTGTCAGCAGTTTTGCCATAGTGGTCTCAGCCATTTCAAAAGCAGAAACCAGAAAATGGAAATGGATCCTGAGCTTTTAGGTGACATCTATATAGAAACCAATCTCTTAAAGCTCTACTTCATAAAACACCTCATGCAACCTGGAGAGTCATTGTATTTGAATTACCCCTTGCACTTGCTTGGTCTTGCTTGAGACATATTAAAGTGTTTTATAAAAACTATAGAAAAGGGCTAATATCTACCAAACACAATCAAGATGTTTTACCTGAAGGTATTTCAACTCTGATAATCCTGAAGGGATTTTTTTGAGTTTATTGTTTTCCAAATGTATTTCTCTCACACGTGGGATGTTAGCAAGACTTCCATTTTCGATATCTGTGATTCTGTTGTTTCCTAGGCCCAGCCTAAAAATGATATAAAATGCATCAACTCTTATGCAGATGATAGGTGTAATAGAGTTAGCTGAAAGTGTCACAACCTAGTTAGAATTTAAGCTTGTCCTATTTTTATTTATGTTCAAAGGTATTTCATGGCTTTATTTAATAACCTATTTCCATATGTAACAAACCTCTCCTCCCCACTGTCAGAAAATTCTTTAACCTAAATTCAACAAAAGGAAAATTTGAAAAATGTCATTTTCTTCTTTCTACTTTATTTGCCTCTCCTATTAGCATTGGCAATAATAATAGCGGTTCTCTCTAGTTTTCCCTTCAAACTCTCCAGTTGCAACAGTGATGATCTCGACTAGGGTACCTATATTTATTGTTCAAGAAGTTTCAGTAATATCTTAATCATGTGGACTGCCACTTCTAAATTAAGATTTTGGGTACTTTTACCTTTGCAGTTCTTTGTATCGTTTAAAATCCTCTTGTTCCACAGTCGAAATTTTATTAAAATCTAAATGAAGCTCCAGTAAAGTTGGTGGTAAACCTAATAAGAAAAGAAAGATGTACGTTAAATCAAATAAAACCAAGCCTCATTGACTATTTATTTACTTTTCAAGTTTCAGATTTAGTTAATTTTTTTGGTACTGAGTTTTTTATTAACCGTTTATTATGGAAAATTTTCAACCATACACAAAAATATAGGAAGTATTATTATGAACCACCATGCTGTTGCCCAGCTTCAGCAATTATCTCCATTTTTCCAATCTTGTTTCATTTACTCTACTCGTTATTTATTGGCCTATTTATTTGTTTTTATTTGCTTCGTCACTTTTTTTTTTTGCTGTAGTATTTGAAATCAAATCCCATATAGAATGTTGTTTCACCTATAAATTCTTCACTAGATGTCTCTAACTGATAAGATAATCTTTTAATATAACCACACTGTTAAGATCACATCTAACAAAATTAACAGTGATTCTTTGCTCTAATCTAATATTCAGTTCACCCAGTTGTCTCAAATATATTTTATAGTTGATTTTTTCATGTCAGGATCCAAATAAAGTTTACAGAATACATTTGGTTCTTATGTCTCTTGAAATCTCTCTTGTATAATATACTTCCTCCTTTTTTCTCCCACTTCTATTGATTTGTTTCTATATTGATTTGTTTGAGATATTCATTTTGTGCATTTGGCTGACAGCTTCCATATGATATGCTTTATCAAAATCCTCTAAGCCCTTATTTCTTATGGCCTGGTAGTCAGATCCAGATATACAATTAGATATAGATAGATCAGCCTTTGACCTGGTGGTCTTGCCATTCATCCACGATTGCTACCTAGAGCCATTATCTCATTAGGAATTGGAAAATGGTGACTTTCTGATTTTGTCATTCTTTATGGATTTATTAGCTGTAATTCTTCAGAATTTTCCCTCATCAATTATTTAGTTACTTTGTAAAATGGCTTTTATAGAAAAGGCAGCAAAACTTGATTCTGTCAAGTAATGAATTGGTACAATGCCCAGAAGTGACCGGTTCAGGGTGTTTTTTTAAACATCATTATGAACAAGTGGACTTTGTTTGGTATGTTCAATCCATTGCAATATTTATTCTTTCAATTAGTAGTAGTTTTTAAATAAATTATGAAGCCCACCTGAAGTACCCTGGCACATGGCAGGCTCCCAGAGAGTGAATGAATGTTCATTCCTTCTCTTCTCGCATAGGCATATCCTGACCCCAGCTCTCCTCAGATAATCTCAAGCTGGAATGAAAGGGACTGACCAGAAGATTCGGTCAAACTTCATTTTGTTACTCTTATATATGGAGTATTATATGTCAACCAAAAGGTTCTGGTTAGCTAGCTGGGAAAAAGCTTTCTTTTTTTCAACTCTTGCTGAAACATTTCCTTCCTATATTAGTGGTGAAGACCGATGAATGTAATTGAAACATCCTTGTGAATAGCAACAGTCTTCATGGCTGAATTTATTTTGATAACAGAATCTGCTTTGCATTTTAAATGTAAATAAACTAGAGAGCTAGTAAATAATTATTCTAAACTGAGAGGGTTCTTATTTCTTGGATTCTGAGTAACTGAGTGTAATGATATTTATGGAGTGACTATATGGTCTCTCCAGTATGTAAGACAAAGGTCTGTCTTCTAAGGCCTTACATTCTAATTGAGCAGATCCATTGTACATACAAAAATCACTAGAAAATAGATGGGCAGTGTGCCAGCCTATTCAAGAGTAGGTTGTAGAAAGAGAAGAGAAAAATCTCTGGAAAAGGGTTTGTATAACTTGAGGGGGAAGTGTTGTGTCCCTTAGGACATGAGGAAGGTGGGTAATCAGAGAAGAGTGAAATACAGACTCTAGGATAAATAAACAGAGGCTTGAATTTGGCAGAAGCTCAGTAACTGCCAACAAATGTTAGCACGCTTTTGTACAGGTATTTCTATTCCCACCGTCTTCAAACAGGTCTCCCCTCTCCTTTACACAATACCATTATGCAGTAGAATTTCCCAGATGGATAGGAAGGAAGACATTATCTTACTCTCTTCCTGTCAACTTGTTGGGTCTGATAAGGACACTCAGGACATCTGCATCATTTCATCCTGCCACAAGGGGCAAAACTGAATTATGACATGTAGGCAGTCAGCCTTTATATTTCAGTGAATAAATTGTAAAAACAAAAAACTTAACTGGCTTCTGAATGTCAGAGAGATCTTGAAGGAGTAATTATACAAGTTGAGAGATTTGATTCTGATTTATATTACTAAAGACATAATGTTCCTTTAGGCTTTGGAAGAATCTCAAAAACTTCATGAGAAGTTAAACATTCATTTTTAAGACATACTTTGAAATGCGAAGAGCTTTGCAATGAGGATGTTTTGCAGTATGAGAAAGACTGCTAGTGCCAATATGAAGAGTGGCCATGCTGTGGGAGAGGCAGCCTGGGCCGGCAGTTCCCTCCTCCTGTCCTTTAGGTCTCACCTCCTCTCCTCCCTCTGCCTTCTTTCCTTTCCTTGTCCTGACTCCCCTTTACTGGATGTCATCTTCTACAATATGAAAGGGATTTTATGTGTTTAATTTATTGGGTAAAGTTTGTATTTTTTGAAAATGGTAAGGTAAATAGGTTTCTTGTAGAAAAACAGCCACCTCCTTCGAAGCTAAATCAAGGTGGTTTTTTATTTGTGTAGTTCTGAATTAAACTAATTTTTTTTCCTGGATAGCAAAATTGTCTGCCCAGTTTTACCTTGGATGATCTTTCACCTAAATGAAAAGTCACCACTTGATTAATAATAATAGATTTGATTTGTCTTTTAAATTATCTGTTTATATTTGTTTTGTTAATCTTCTGGATCAGATGAGTAGTAGAGAGGGGGGTTATGATGAAGTTGCTGCTTTTACTGGTAGATACTGAAAGAGCTGTTTGAAAGGGAAAATATGTTGTTAATCATAGGGGTTATTTCTGACCCAGTTAGCCGTCAAAGCACAGAGAGACTTTGTGCCTCCTTTGTCAGGGACAAAGCAAGACTTTGAGCACGAATTCCAAGAAAGGCAGTCCTACCTAGCTAATCATCAGAGAAGAAGCTGAGAAGTAACTGGTTAGAAAACGGGTCCTCTAGCAAACTTAAAGAACATTTTACTTTGAGTTCCCAGCCTCAGATTACGTGAAACCATGATAAAAAGCTTAATGCTTATCCTGGTAATGATTATGTCATGAGAGGGCACTTCGTATGAAGTCACTTCATTTGAAGACACTGTCTTCAAACCTTTCTGTGTATTGGTGCATTGATCTTCATAGCATCCCTGGAAGGAAGCTGGGTTCAGAGTGCCTTGACCAGAGTGGAACTTCCTTTCCTGCTAGAGTCAGAGGCTGCCCAGTCTGGCCTCACAGGCTCTGCCTCCAACTATGGCTGTATGGCTGGGGACAGGGTCTCTGGCCCCATCCATCTTTTTCTGCTTTCTTCTCTACAGAATTCTCTATAACAGGTACTTCACAAAATGACAGGTATAGATTAGTTAATGTCAGGAAAGAGAAGGAAAATAAAAAGTTCATTGCTTCTTAGTGTTTATTCTTTCTGGGGGAAAAAAGATTATGGTTTAATTCTGTTAGAAAAAAAAGCACTACACATGGTACTTTCTGTGTGTGTAAGTAAATGCTGAATTTCATACTATACTGACCAGATATACTAGTACAGGGATTTCTAGTTGCAGTGTATACTGCACATTGTATACTGTACAGTTTACAATATTACATTTAATGGTCATTGAAAGATGACAGTTTAAAAAATACTCTGACTTTAATAAAGTAAATACAAACCTTTAGGAACTGAGGTCAGTTTTGCTTCTGCAATTCTGATATGGAACACTGTCACCCCTTCAAATGCCCCTGGCTCTATCCCATCATTATCAAGAGGGTTTGCACTCATTTCTGTGGGGAATATGACATGAGTTAGTACACACAGGTTGTATACGAAGGAAATTCACCATGCAGAGAGACACATCTCAAGAATATTCAAGAAGTGTAAACGTCGTCTTTCAGACTCATTTTCACTCAATATATCTGTTTCTATCTATTTTTCCTTCTGTCAGCCTCAGAAAAATACTGCTTTGTATTATGTAAACTGGAATATATAATGAATTCACTGTTTTGCTTTGAATTACTAAATCAGTGACATTATCATACTCCTCCGATTATGAACATGATAAAAGTTTTGTTGTAGTAATATTGCATCAGAAAAAAAGATTATCCTTCATATAATTCAAAAGTTTGTATTTTCTCATGTACATTTTGTTTCTAAACTTTATTATGTGAATTAGAAAAGTAAATGTCCATTCCAAATAATATCTGAATTAATTTTGTACATTATATTTGAGTAGTTTATATAATACATTAAAAATACTACATTTAAATTAAGTAAGAATAACATAGATTTATTAATTAGAGTCTAGTCAGAAAACAGAAGCCATACTAGGTGGTTCAAAGGAGAGTCTTGAGAGGGAGAGAAAGTATTACAAAAGCCATATTTTCTTTAAGTACTGTAAATTTTGTTTGGCATTTTAAATGGTTTATAAATGGCTTGTGTAGGTAAAGATTATTAAATAGATTAAAAAATGAATTTTGGAAACTATCATTCTTAAAAGTTAATAATGTTGATAAAGTGTTCTATGTCTGCTTGTCAATTATAATTTTAAGATGTCTGATTCATTTAAAAAACTTACCCAAAACATGCAATGCATTCATTCCTTTGAATGTGTCCTTTTGTATTTTCTTGACTTTATTATCATGAATTCTGAGTTCTGCTAATGATTTGGGAAGATTAAGTGGTATTTCACTTAGTTGATTATGGGACAAATATAGCCTTCGTAACTTCTTTGTGGTTAGAAAGGTTTTTGGGTGAATCTTTGTTAGCTTGTTGTTGTTCAGAATCAGAGCCTGGATAAAGCATAGAAAATTATACAATATTAGGAAGTGGATTTGATTTACTGATATTCCACAATGATTACTCAGTCATGAAAATCAATATAATTTATGTTGTTGGTGTACTAGATCAACCACATAAAAAATTTCCCAACCCAATTGAAGCTTTTTAAATAATTACTACTGAGTTAGAAGAGTGAAAAGCTGTTGTTGTCATTGTTGCTGTTGGTGGTGGTGGTGGTTTGAGGCAGAATCTCACTCTGTTGTCTGGGCTAGAGTGCAGTGGTGTCATCACAGCTCACTGCACCCTCAAACTTCTGGGCTCAAGCGATCCTCCTGCCTCAGCCTCCCAAGTAGCTGGGACTACAGGCACTCACTACCATGCCTGACTAATTTTTCTATATTTTGTAGGGACTGGGTCTTGCTCTTGCTCAGGCTGGTCTTGAACTGCTGGGCTCAAGCAATCCTCATGCCTCAGCTTCCCGAAGTGCTAGGATTACAAGCATAAGCCACCAAGCCCAGCCAGTGAACAGCTTTAATGTTTGATGTTGTGCTTTTGGTTTAGATACAAGCTTATCTTTTTTTATTGTATCTTTGAATAGGTAATACATTCACATGGTTGAGGCTTCAACCTCTACCCAACCTCCTGTTTCCCTTCACTAACAATATTATCTTTATCTTAAAATCTGTTTGCTCTACAAAATTATGTTTAGTGCACACCAAATATATTTTTACATGATGTTGTCTACTTTAAAATTTTCACTTTTTTCATGTTTACCAATGTTTAGTATTTCTCCCAGACTAGAGGCCTGTAAAATGGACATAGCTCAGTTCTTTTCTCATTGCCAGACTGCAGAATTTTCAATGTTTACCAGAATTGATGGCAGGTCACTAAGCATCTTCAGGACATTTTTGTCCCTCTCTATGAATCCAGATCATCTAACCCTCTCAAGAAGCAGCTCTAGACTCATTCTTTATATGAATTTTGTCCCCAGCCTCATTTTACAGTAACCTCCCATTGCTTCCACACTGGTTTAATATGTCTTACTGGTATTATTCATATTGTTGTTTTTCCATGGCAGAAATATACATTCTTTGCCCACTCAGTAAACTCCCTTTATCCTCATGTTTACTCGTTTCACTCTCAGCCCTTTGTGTCTCCCTTTTCTTACTCTCCTTCCATACATGTCACTTCTGTTAAAAGTTTTACCTGAGAAAGGTCAAGCCTGGGAGAAGAGGTGAAACTACATTTTGTTACCAACTGGTAAAATATATTCCTTTCTGAGTGTATGATGGCAACTAAAAGTGTGTTCTCTTTTGGTTACACTGAAAAATGAGGTGGGGGATATTTAACAACTTTGTGGATCACAAAGATGGTTTGTGAATCCTCACTTGACTTCTTGAGGTACATCGCACAGAAATTATTACTCTCCTTTTAGTGATGAGGAAATGGGCGCAGTGAAGAAAAGTCACTTGCCTAAGGTCACCCAACAAGTAAGGGTCAGAGCAGCCCTGCCCCAAAGTGAACATGTACCTTAGTAAGATCCAAATATAGTGCATAGGGATTTTGTTTTCTTGGGCTTTTTTTTTTCTGGTTAAAATATGCAGTTGTTAGAGCTGCATAAAAGGAAGGATAAGTAACACAGAACAGCTTAAGAGTTTTTATGCAGCATTATTAAGTGCTGCCCAGTACTGTGGGCTGCCCCAGCCTGGTGAGCTGGCAGATCCAGTTGAACTGTATTCTCAGTGCTGGCTTGGCTGTCACAGAACCCCCAGTTCATCACTAACAATCTAAGGACAAAAGATGAGAAAAGCATAACCTTTCAGAAGCAGGACAATAATTCATGCCAAGGAGTCTACTTGCTCAAGAATTCTTTGGCATAGTTCCAGGTCCTTAAATTTGGCTCGGAATAAACTTCTTTAAAAAAATAATAATAATAATTCATGAGTAATGCGTTTGTGATAATGGCTGGAAGTAAGCTGGGAAGTCTGAGACTGCGTTCGGTGGCCTTGCCCATTCTCTGACTGTATCGTCCTTTATGTAAGAATCCAAATGCCAAACAGGCAGCTAAAATGTAACATAGAGAATTTGTAGAATATCTAAGAAACAATTTGATTTCAAACAGAATCAAGGGACCATATAAAGTGATATAATAGTTATGTAAATGTTTTGTAAGTATACATTATACCCACAATTCAGGTATAACGCATATACTTTAAAAAGGGCTTTATATTAGTATATTGGGTCAGTCTGCTAATACTAGCCTGGCAATATTAGTTAAACAATTAGGGGCTTCCCTGTTATTGCTGTGTACCTTGCATGTATTTGCTCACTTAATCTTTTTTTTTTTTTTTTTTCTTGAGATAGTGTCTCACTTTGTTGCCCTGGCTAGAGTGAGTACCGTGGCGTCAGCCTAGCTCACAGCAACCTCAGACTCCTGGGCTCAAGCGATCCTCCTGCCTCAGCCTCCCAAGTAGCTGGAACTACAGGCATGCGCCACCATGCCCGGCTAATTTTTTCTATATATTTTTAGCTGTTCAATTGATTTCTTTCTATTTTTGGTAGAGACAGGGTCTCGCTCTTGCTCAGGCTGGTCTCGAACTTCCTGAGCTCAAACAATCCGCCCGCCTCGGCTTCCCAGAGTGCTAGGATTACAGGCGTGAGCCACCACGCCCGGCCTGCTCATTTAATCTTAATAACCACTCTATGAATTCCATGCCACTGTCATACCCCTCTTACAGCCAAGGAAGTTGAGGCTACTTTCCCAGTGTTATATACCTGGTAGAGCCATGATATGAGCTCAGGTCTACCTGACTCCAGAACACTCACCCTTAAACATAATGCCATATAACAGTTGACTAAAAGAAAATGAAAGAGACCTAAAAAAGCTCCTGATACCTTTTAGATTGTTGTTTCCCAATGAATAACAGGAGCACATGTGGACTTAGTCTCTGGAATATTCCTAAAATGTATAAAATGATGATATGACAAATTAAAAACTTTTTATGGCTCCAGTATTAAATATGCCATTAAGTTATTATTCTTGTGGATATCTACTCTGAATATGGGTTGGAGAAGTGGTAGAAGCATTCTTAGGCTATATTTCCAACTTCTGATGGTAGAATAATGGCTTTGTTTTTCTCCAAAAATTTCTGTGGCCTGAAGTCAGTGAGGTGGACTGGGTGGCTCGTCGGCGGAATCCATTATGTTATTCTTTTTTTTTTTTTTTTTTTTTTTTGAGACAGAGTCTTACTCTGTTGCCCGGGTAGAGTGCCGTGGCTTCAGCCTAGCTCACAGCAACCTCAGACTCCTGGGCTCAAGCGATCCTACTGCCTCAGCCTCCCAAGTAGCTGGGACTACAGGCATGTGCCACCATGCCCGGCTAATTTTTTCTATATATATATTTTTAGTTGTCCAGATAATTTCTTTCTATTTTTAGTAGAGACGGGGTCTCGCTCTTGCTCAGGCTGGTCTCGAACTCCTGACCTTGAGCGATCCACCCGCCTCGGCCTCCCAGAGTGCTAGGATTACAGGCGTGAGCCACTGCGCCCGGCCATTATGTTATTCTGATTGTCTTAATATTTAAGTGAGGCCTTGGTTATAAAATAAATATATGTCTTCCAGTTACACATATATGTATATATTTTTTGCATGGAGCCTTACCAAATCTGAGCTGTCTGCACAGTTTGAAAGAGAAAGGAACAGTCAAGGCCTTGGCTACCTGGCAGTGCAATGTGAAAGCTGGGTTTTGCAGGGAAGCCGACCCAGGCTCCCCTGGGCATAACTCCTTGCCATATAGACACAATGTGAGGATTGAGCATCCTCAGTCTGCCTCCAACATGATGAGCATGCATGTCCTCAATCCCAGGATGACAGGGAGACAGGGATCGGCTAACAGGGTCAATTGCACTGACTCCAGGGTGACAAGGAGGCAAGGTGACCCCCATCTCTCAGATACAGGACCAGAGCCAGGCCTGCATGGCAGCTAAGGGCTAGTATGGCTATGGTATTTATAGCTCTAAAAGAAGTATTTTCTACCTTCTCTTCTTAGTATACCTTACCTGGAGATGACCGTTAAACTCTTAGCCCACTGACATTTACCTGCCTAGTATTTAATAAATGTCAGTTGAATTAAATAATTGATTGAATTAAATCTATAATTTTTAATTGACTAGAGCCATGCTGAATACAGGGATTTTTGTCATTCTTCACACACAGAAAAGTAAGACTTATTTATACTAACACAGTATAATTAATCATTTTAGCAATGATACAGATTTTCACTTAAATATTTGAAAATATGAGCATTTATTCTTACATAAAGTGAAGTGAGTCCTTTAAAATCATTTTCTTTGATTTCCTTAATTTTATTGTTTTGAAGGTCAACCATTCGAGTATCAAATGGAATGTTGCTTGGGACTGAGGTCAAACCTGAGAAAGAAACAAACATGTTATAAAGTAGAGAATCATGCTAAAGATGAAATTACTAATTTGGTAGAAATGTACATTTTTAAAAATCCATGTTTATTATTAAGTAACAGATGACTTAACAGTTGTAATAGATGATAAAAACATTATTTGGGAAGGCCTCAGGACCTGTTCAGGTAACTTAATTTTTTTTCAAGTTATCTAGCAGTGTTTAGCTGTCACCACTAATCTGCTTCAAGGTGAAATAAATGGAGGTAAGTTAGGGCTGCCCTTATGACTGTGAGGACATGACCAACAGCTGATGCGCAGCTTCTGGTGATGCACTTTTAGCTGAGGGATATTAACTTCTTTGCAAATTTTCAGGCTGTAATAGTACTAAATTAGAGCATGTGGGTTTGGACTATTTTAAGAAGGCTTAAGATGTAGAGAGTTGTACTTAGAAAATAGATAAATTACATTATTTTCAGGTACATTATCAAAAACTTTGCTACCCATTCCTTTAATTAGTTCCTCTGATTAATTGTAAATTCTTTGATATACAAGTACTTATTCATATTAAACTCTTCATTAGCATCTAAGCGTGAGATATACCTTCACTTAATTCATCACCCACAGCATTAGTTCAAGTGCGAAGTGATTTGGCTAATGACTCTTTCCCGGCCATGTGCCATACTTTGAAGTTATATTTTTAGTCATGATTCCTCTTTGCAGGTACTATAATACTTTTCTTTTATGTCGTCTCAGCTGCATACTTCCTCTTTTTGTAGATATTTAGTAATACTAATTAAATGACAAACATTTTTCCCCCCTCTTGGATTGAAAAAATGAGCAGAAAATTATTAGAAGCTGTATGTGATGTATTTCCTTCTTAACTTTCCCTAGATGGCCAACCTGAATCTTTAGGTAGAATATGCCCACCATCCGCTTATTATTGGACATACCATGCAACAGTTCTGCTTGATGAGCATGGGGCCTCCTTGTTTTTTCCAAACATTTTATTGTGAAAATGTTCAAAAAGTTGAAAGAATTTTACAGTAAAAACCTATATTCTCACTATCTGCTTTCTACTATCAGCATTATCCTATACTCTACTTACTGTCCATCCATCAATTCATTTTTTAATGCATTTTAAAGTGAGTTGCAGATATTTACACTTTTGATAGAACCATCCTTACCCCTGAAGAGTAATAGTATATCTAATGGCTACAAATTGAGGGATTGAATTTCTAAATATTTGAATATCAACATTCTACTCTACAGTTCTATGTACTTTTCCCCTCCATACTTTAAAATTGATAACTCTTTTAAGAAATTTAACCATATATAGCAAGAGGAAAAGGGGGGTAACTTGATGAGTTAGCAAGTTAGAGGAGAAGTTTTGTGTGTTAGATTAGATTAATTTTGCCAGCTTTATAAACATAGGAGATTATTTTGGTTTTAGAAAATGAAGTGGAAGTCTTGTAGGAAGCTGGAGGTTCTGCAGAAAGGATCCTCCTAGTAACACAGATTTTGACAAACCTACTCCCACCCTGCCCCTGATGAAATTGAAACTGAAAGGAGTTTCATCTCCTAAGGGAGGAAGAGTGACAAGACCTTTTTATAGTCATGTTATGGGGAGGTGGGCTGTGTGCAACTGCTGACAGCATGTCTGTCAAAGATATCCTTGGGTAGATTTTGTTTACTAGAGTTTTTTCAAAGCTAATGTTCAGGAGACTGTGCAATGCGAACAATAGCTGTCTGCCATGAGGTAGCTTGGGTTTCTCGGGTCTTTGGTGACAAGTGTATGCTGGAGCAGATTTTTGCAATATTTCATCCAAGGTCTTCATTTTGGAAGCAGATATCTGCTATGGAGCAGCAAACGTGGAGGCCAGCACGTGGGGATGATTAAAGATAAACATCTCCTACTCACCATCTTACCCAGAATTAATCCAGTTTACATCCAGTGGGGTCAAAGCAGATACATATATTTTTATCCTGAGTTTTGATTTACAAAGTGCTTTGCTATGCACCCACTCTGCAAACTGATGGTAGGTAGTGTTTTTGCTTGTCTGGCATGCACCTTAGTGATGATAGTACATTACTTAAGGAGCTAATCTCTTTTTATACTCAGGATCTGGCTCTGCTTCTGCATTTCTGATTTTTGCTGCTTTTTCCACAGTCATTCTGCATGTGCTTCCAAACTGGTTTTCTCAAGTGATAACATGCAGCTTGTTATCTTTTTCTCATGAGAATGCCAAAGGTAAAGCTTCAGACCCATTTTTTTTCCTAGCCTATTTATTCTATTAGGCCTTCCCAGTAACTCTAGCTCATATTAGTCTCCCCATTTTCTGAATGCTTTTTGTTATGTCTCTTTTTGTCATATAATGACACTTTGTTAAAGTCTCTAGAGTGAATTATAATAAGCTTTGACTCTTGCTGTGAATGCTGTGGCAGGAGGAAACAAGTCTAAAGCTTTTAGAGACACCTTGTCCTCATATGGAATCATGAAGTGGCCCTGATGGGCCATCAGCCCCAGAATAGGAGTTGTATGCCAGACTCTGGCCTCCATAGTGGGGCAAGTCTCAACTGTTCCTTCTTTTGGAAATAGCTGAGGACAACTCTTGATATATTCCTATCACATTCCCTCCTTGAACAGAGCATGAGTGCTCTTGAGTACTCCTTCATTAGAAGTACTAAAGAAATAAAATACTCAGCAGAGAATTATAAATTTTAAAGATACTCAGTTCAGCCACTTCTTTTCTAGGCAGTTCTAAACCCAAATCATTCAAAACAAATAGAGCATTATCTTTGAAGTGTCTAGATTAGAGTTTTCACAAACTCTCTGTAACCCATTGTTCTGGACACACAACTTATTTTGTTATCATAGAATTTTACTGAAAAGTACAGTCTCCCCCTGCTAACACACTGAGATGAAACTGCAGTGATGTCCATTCTCTTTGAAGGTAATTAAAATGAAGTGCTTTGATTTAATTGGGGAAGAGAAGGAAGTGTTCTATGTATAAAATTTCCACTATGATTCTGACTTTCTGAACTTTTTTTTTTTTTTTTTTTTTTTGAGACAGAGTCTTACTCTATTGCCCCGGCTAGAGTGCTGTGGTATCAGCCTACCTCACAGCAACCTCAAATTCCTGGGCTGAAGCAATCCTTCTACCTCGGCCTCCCAAGTAGCTGGGATTACAGGCATGCGCCACCATGCCTGGCTAATTTTTTTTCTATATATATTTTTAGCTGTCCAGCTAATTTCTTCCTATTTTTTTTTAGAAGAGACCGGGTCTAACTCTTGCTCAGGCTGGTCTCGAACTCCTGAGCTCAAACAATCCTCCCGCCTCGGCCTCCCAGAGTGCTAGGATTACAGGCGTGAGCTACCACGCCCAGCCCACTTTCTGAACTTTTAAAATAAGTTTGTACATACTTTGGGGTTTGCTATACTTACCCCCTAAAAATTTAAATGAAAAAATATTTTATAATCAATGAGATGATTTTTGAAATGTTGGTAAGGACTTTTCCCATCCTTTTAATTTTGTTAGAATTGCATTATTCTTCAAAACGAAGTTGATTTATGTTCTTACCCAGATCAGAACAATGTACAACTCGTGAGTAGCACTGACATCCAAATGGACAGGTTGGAAACAGATCAAATGGGAAAAAGGGACTCCGTGGCTCTCTTGTTGGAAAAAGAGAGTTGTCATCGTCATCGTCATCATTGTCGTCTGTGTCTTCCATATCCTTCAGCATCATATTCTTCAATGTTATATGTGAAGGGTTAAAGAAGGGTTTGGCAGAGCACAAAGCCAGGAACAGTAGAAGCATATATTCCTTCATATTGTCTTAGTGTAGAGGACCAATCTAGAACTAAATAGACATTGACTATTAATTTAAACAGATATAATTCCTACATCTATATATTTCTCAGTGCTGGAAAACATACAGCGAGATGGCATTCTTAACCATTGCTAGCAAATTGAGAATATATTTATAAAAACTCTTTGGAAACCAGTTCAGCAGTATGCATTAGGAACTTTAAAAATATCTCTTTTTCATCCCATAATACTACTTTTTGGAATCTAGTCTTGGGAAATACTTCTAAATTATAGAAAGATGCTCATCATAGAATTATTTATAATAGCAAAAATATGCAAGATAATTCTAATGGTTAAAGGAGAGCAGTAAAATAGGGTATATTTATTTCATGAAATATTTTGGAATCCACAAAATGTTTCCAAAACCATTTAAAAATATATTATTTTGTGAAATAAAAAACACAAATATAAAATATCCATACATAGTACGCTTACACTCACAAAACAACAAAATACAGCAGGAATATACCTGACTGATGATAAACTCTGGGTGGTAGAACCATAGATGACTGTGTCTTCTTTTTTTTCTTTTTTCTTCTGTAATTTTTATAATGAGCAATAAGTATTACTATTATAATTAGAAAACTAATAAATGTTTTTTAAAAGAAAAACAGATTATCAGCCAGGTGAAGTGGCTCATGCATGTAATCCTAGCACTCTAGGGGGCCAAGGGAGGAGGATTGCTTGAGGTCAGGAGTTGGAGACCAGCCTGAGCAAGAGCGAGACCCAGTCTCTACTAAAAATAGAAAAATTGGACGGGCATGGTGGCGTGCGCCTGTAGTCCCAGCTGCCTGGAAGCCTGAGGCAAGAAGGTCACTTGAGCCCAGGAGTTTGAGGTTGCTGTGAGCTATGGTGATGCCACTGCACTCTGCCTATGGTGACAGATCAAGACACTGTCTCAAAAACAAACAAACAAAAACAGATCATCAAGTCTGGCTCTCTATTCCCAGAATCTTTCCATTGCCTTAATATCATTGTTCCTTTGAAAGGAATGTCCTCAGCGTCCCCTTAGACAACATCTGGAAGTTTTCCCTAACTGATTTCTCTTTACCCTCCCCAACCTGACTCTCATAGTTGGTCACTTTTTCCACAATGTCATTGGGATCTTTTTTTCTTCTAATCTGTTCCATTGTCTAATACCTGATCCAAACCATCTGATATCCAGACTTTCTTATTCATCTTTCCATTGAGTTCCATTTGTTTGTTTGTTTTTGGTGAGGCCGGGTTGTGTTCAGTTGTATTTTTTAAAACTCACACAAAGCTAGAATGTACGAATCAGAACCTCCGGAGCACAGATGCGTTGCCACCTGATGGCTAGTATTCCTTCAGTAGTATTTACGTATCAGAGTTTCATAACTATTAGCTCTGAAAAATTTGTACATTCTTAGAAAATTTCAAAAATTAAAAACATTATGAAATCATCCAAAACAGATGTATCATTAGAGATGCCCGTTGGTGAGCCCAAGTCCTGGCAGGAGGGCATCCACTCCCCGCCACAACAGAGGGCTGCACAAAACATCCCTCAGCCACAGTCACCTGATAGCCCACCAAGCCTGCCATTGCCTGACTTTCAGGCAGCCATTGAGCTGCAAAAGACTTCCAGAGTCAGTCAGGGTTGGTCTAGCCACAAGAAGACCTTACCCCACCCACCCCAAATCCCAGCTGGTTACAATTTCCCAGAATCCAGAATCAGCTTTAATATCTCTCCATGGGCTTGCTTTTTCCTGTACTTAGAAATCACAAATAAATTCATTAACTTAATTAAAATATCATTTATATATATAATGTCCTTTTTAATCATGAGGAGGGTTAGAATGTCCTACTGCCATTTGTTATTAACCTGATAATTACATTATTTAATTTCTTATATGCTCCAAAAATCTAAATGGTGACATGAACATTTGCCCACAGGTAGCTGGATAGGACTGGTCAGGTAATGTGTGGGATTCCTGTGATAATCCACACTCAATTATGCTAGGAAGGAGATTACAGAACAGATCTGAGAATGTCAAAAGCTTTTTACATTTTAATAATCCTATTCTGAATTTCAAAACCGGCCCTAGCCCCCCATCTCTACACTACTTTATGGAAATGTCAACTCAAGCTTATTCTAGACTCATCCCTCACATTAAATAAGAGTAGATGAGGTACAAAGAGCTTAAGTGACTTCTCCAACATCCCCTATCAAATATAAATGGAGCCACTGGGACTCACGAGTCCCAATTCCCTGTTCTGTGCCACCTTTGCTACAACCCATGCAGGGGGAACTCAGTTCTTTTATTCAGAAATCTAGTGCCTTCACAGGCACTCTGTCATCTCTTCCTATCTGAACAGTCTACAAACTGCTGTCCTATGTACATCTGTACAAAAAAGTGTACCCATACAGCTCAGATTCAGAAGGCAGAGAATAGAGTGATTGTATAGTCAGATTTGTGCAGCATACAGTGAGAGATTGTGCTGGCAACAAAAGGCCCAGTGGCTTCTGTTGGACAGCCCTGGGTGAAAATCACAGCTGAGGCTGACTACTGTGCCGTAGCAGCCACAGGGCATCCCCGCTGGCAGGCAGGTTGATATTTCATATTCTGGTCATCCCAGGAATCCTGGCATGGGGTCCTGGTGAAGATCGCCAGGGCTTCGTTTTCAACATCACGTTGTCCCTGGCACACTGTTTCTTGGCTGCCTGTCTAACTTTGACCCATTATGTTTTTTGACCTCAGCCTTCTGTGTGGTTCCTGGCTCCTTGATGCTTAGTTCCCAGCTTTGCCTCCACCTCCAAAATACTCATTCCCTAGGAAATTCAGCTCTTGGTTCTTAGCTAAGTCAAAGCTGGTCCCTGATTCCAGTTTATTCTTTAATGTTCTTATGTTACAGCTCTGTCTTCTAGGTGCACTGCTGCTCTTGACCTTGTCTGACCTTGGCAATGAAAAGCTATAGAATTACACTATCATCTGAGATCCTGTCTCTGGCTTTCTTTGAGGTTCCTGGAACTATTCAGTAGACATTTACCAAGCACCCACTGTACCCTAGGCATGGTTTCAAGTGTCAAGATGCTGAATCAGTTGGAGTCAAGCACATCTCCCTCCCCATCCTCTTTTCTCCCACACTTGCCTACTCAAAAAACAAAAAAACCACAACTCCTAATCAACTACTATCAGGTAAATATGGGATTATTATTAAAGTTAACACTTCAATGTCAGGTGCATTAACAGAAAAACTGAAAAATAAAATGCCGAGATTGATAAATAGAACAGTAAATAGACATCAACTGTATATACTGTGACTTATGGAATAGGGATGACAGTGTGAGGCTTTAACACTAGATGTGTGGTCCCCAAGGCTTTGAAAATAAAATTCTTTACCGTATGTCTGTCTACTCATAACCTTCAGTTTACTGTTTGAGACTAGTAGAACTAAAGACATCTATAAAAACATACATGCATATGAAAAAAAGATTAAAATTGAATCTACAAACTTAGTAAGAGGAATAGTGGGATTATGAGGGAAGCATTTTTTTTCTTGTCATGCATAGTTTTTTTTAATTAGGCTGCTTTAAAAATATTTTAAATATCAGCATACCAATAGAATTTTCTTTGCTTTGGTCCTATGCATACTTTTCTTTTCCTACCACTTCTGTAGTATTAAAGTGATATCACAGTGGGTAGAATTAAAGATTTCCCATACACACGGTTCCAATCTATCTTCACCCAAAAGTCAAACAAAACACCTACCTGGGAAATTGTTTTGGGGTTCACAGTTTCTTGAGGCTTAACCCCATTTACTCTGGTCTGTAGGAAATGAAGATTTTGATGAAGTCATTTTTAAAGTTGGTTGTTTTAGTTTGTCTTTTCTCATAGAAACTTTGAGTTAATATGGGCTTTAGGTTCCCAGTCTAGACAGAAAATTAACACTTAATATACCTGAAATACAGACCTAAGAAAACTATGGAACTTAAAAAATTATGTAAAACATCAGGAATGTGTTAGAGATCCAAAGTAGGGTGCCAAGAACACATCTTGGTGTTCCTTGTGGCCTGGCAGCAAGATTGAGGACTGGCTTCAGCTCCTTTGCACACCACATGCCGGTTAACCAGATTCCTTCAGTCTAATGTCACAATCAGAAGAACCCCACACCCACCCCATCCCCTCCACCGCTACCCATGTTCAGTCAAGGTTTGGGAGATGGAACAGGATCAGGTGTGAGGAGCAGAAATTGGGAGCTGAGAGGATAAGGAGAAGGCACACAGGGCAGAGAAGGGGGGAAGGAGAAGGGTGGTGGGCTTGCTTCTTTTCCACATCCTCACCTCAGGGGTGCTGACCTGCCCACCTGTGGTACCAGGAGATGCATCAACCAGGGCCCCTCCTTTTCTCTCTCTTCTTTCTTAGATTGTCTCTGAGACCCTCCCTGCCTTTAATCAAAACCGAGGTAAAATGAAAATATGAAATCGAGACTTCCACGTGCTAGTGTTAGGCAATAGCATTATCTGTAATAGTTAGAAGCATTCTAGTTGCTGAGCATAGAGGCAGCCACCTGTATAAAGTAGTTGGGCTCTTTCCTGGCGAGAAATGGAGACCTCTGGAAGCAGGAATGTTATCTAGTTGAAAGTTACTCCTAGTGGTGGAGATTCCAGAACATTTGGGACCAGGGAGCATATCCACTCTGCTTGAATAGCTCCAGTGAGAGGACTCATAGGAAGCATACCACTTCCAGGCATCATCTTCCATTGTTGTTCATCTATGATTGTTAGAAAAGTCTATATTGAAACCAAAAAGGCCTTCCTGCAAATTCATTTCTCTGTGCTAGTTCTATCTTCTGTTAGCCATATACAATTAATTTAATCTTTTTATGTTCTCTTATCTAGTTGCTTGCAAAGATAAGAGTCAGGCCAACCTTGATTCCATGAGGAATTCATTTATGCTCTTCATCTGCTGTTGCTGGTTCTCTTCCACAACCTTGATAAGTGCAACTGATTATAGGTCCTAAACCTCTCCCTATTCCAGCTGTGCAACTGTTCACCAATAGAAAATTATTGGAATGCCTAGGAAGGAACACTGTATAAGAGTATTTTTTCCTATTATTCAGAAGGAAGATAGAGATTATTATTTTTCATTTAAAATGATGTGACTTTTAGTTATTTGAGTTTATTAGTACGGTTCAAGCTCCATTTTATTAGTTTTGGCAGCATTTAGATTGTGCTATTTTTGAAACCTTTAAAAATATTTATATCTTGTTCTCAGGAAAACTCAGTATTTCCCTGATTTAGACCACTTTGCCAGTGTTTTCTACATGGAAAGCTTTGGATTTTGGTTTCAAGCTTCTCTTAATAATATTTGGAGTGTTATCCCAGTGCTACTGCTGTTACTAATAAATCACAGCAGTTTAGAACTAAGAGAGACCTTGGGGGACTTTCCCCCCAGGACCTTCTTTTTACAGAGGGGGAAGCTGAGACATGGGGCATCCAGAGCTCACTGGAGGTGGTAGATTTGAGGGCCTCCTCACTCCTGTTAATTGTGCTTTCCGCCAAACTTCACGTCCTTCTCTAAATGAACTTTAATCTCATAGTTACTTCTAGACAATAAACAGAATTTCCCCTGTAAAAGAGTAGGTGAGAAGGTTTGGCCGAGTTCTCAAAAGAGTTCATAGCAGGACTGGAAATATAGCTAAGCAGTATATAAGCTTCATTTTTTCCGCTTAACTGGTCCACAAACTTAGATTGGAAAGTTTGTCTAAGTGAAATGGTATTTCCTCTCAGACACTATTATTAGGTAAATAAGTCACTGTGCTTTTAAATTTCACGTTTAAAGGTCTGGTTGGCAACTTTTCCCTTTGGCTTAAATATGCCTATCAGTTCACCGATACCAGTAATAGATTTAAGTATATAAATATGGTATAACATGCTGCACATATCTCACAGAAGGAATCCAAACTAAGTTCAGGTATAATCAAGGCACAGCCTTGTAAGTCAACAAAAAAGTTCAAGCATGCATTTGGAAACTTACAGTACCATTTGTTCATGAATACTTTTAAAGGCAACACTTTTCTTAAAGAAATAATTAATTTCACCTTAGAAGTATAAATAGCATTCTGATTAAAGAACTTCTGGCTGCTCTTCTTTTTATACTAATTTTACCTTTCATCAGTTTTTCCATATGTCTAGCAACCTAGCTATTGTCTTTAAAAAAAAAACCAAAAACTCTTCTTTCTCAATTTTTTTCTGATGTTTCCTACAGTGCCTCAAGACTTGTGCTTGTAAAGTTAATGTATTTTGTTTCAAACCTCAGATCAAGTATCAGAATATTCGTTTTTAATATAGTAATTAGTTGTAACACAAGACTGCATATCCTCTCCTTTCCACTACTACACTATATTGCTTAAGGCCAAAAACAAACTAAAAACATCAGGATACTTTTGTGTGTGGGCTTGTGATCTATCTTTCTTTCTCTTTCTTTTTTTTTTTTTTTTTTAAACAACTCAATGAATCTCGGTGGGATGAAAAAAACCACTTTATTTTTAGAGAAATATAATCCCCTCAGGTTCTTTATGACTCAGTCCCTATACCATGTGGCCACTGTTTCTTGGCTGCCACACCTCTGAATAGATTAACATGAAAGGATGCTATACTCTATTTAGATTACTAGGGAGTAGAGTATCGAATACATTGTTTAATTTTTTTAATCTAAGACTTAATCAAAAATTTAGTTTGGGAGGGTACAAAGGAAATCTTTGAGTGTTTTGAATTCTGACTATAAGAATACTATGAAAAGAAGCTTCTAATCTTTGATATTGAATATAAAACTGGTTAAACTATTGCTGGTAAATATTCTTTCTTGAAATTGTATGGATTTCCATTTTAACTGTTCAGTGCCATTTCTTTACATAAGAATAGGGAAGGCATTTATCAAGAAAAAATATGGTTATTCCGATGTATAAGTAAAAATGACATTTGAATCATTCACAAATTTTAAAAACACATTAGAAAATATCATACTTTTACATATTGAAGGAAATATTTACTGTTCCATGTAATATATCTGTGATATCCCCAAACTTCATTATCATTAATTATTAAAGTAATGTCATTTTTCTAAAAGAACATATAAGATGCTTACTTAAATAATTTTTAAAATCAATCATGTTAGCATTTATGTAAAGTATAATGACAGGTTTTCACATAGCTGTTAAAAAAAGTCGCATAATTATATTTAAAATAAATTCATTATACATAAGACATAAAACTACAATAATTTTAGGTACATAATTAGGTTTATATTTTAATGTTGAGTTTTAAGAAATAACAGAGATAGGCTTTGAACTTAATCATATTATTTACAAGCATTTATTAGTAGTATTAATGTCTCCTTAGTATTGACTATAAAGTAATTTATACAGTGGTACATGAAACATACCTGTCAGAAGAGAGTAGTCCTCTTGAAAGTAGAATTTATCCACCATGTACTACTTATCTATAGTGTAAATGTTCTCAGGCACTGTTTAAGAAGAAAAGATGAGGAGGTATTACATTTAAAAGAAAAAAACACCCTTCAATACAGCCCCTGGTGTAGCTGCACCCTGGGTGATACTGGAATAAACTGCTTCCACAGATTAGTCCATGTTAGTACTGAGGAGCAAGATTAAAACTTGTTACTGCTCATGTGTTTTCCATCACTGTTTGTATCATAGCCAAGACTTCTAGCTAAACTCTAGACGTCTACTGGAAGATTCTGAAGAAAAAAAAAGGGAGTTTAATAATGCATGGCAGCTGGCCATTGAAAGTGCAGTCAGAGTCATTCAAGAAATACCTGATTTGAAAAAATATGAGACTCTCAAGTGAAGGAGCATGTATAAATTTAAATTTCAAAAATCACTCATCCCATATAGACTAATAAAATATTTATCCATCTGAGTAAAGAATACTAACATTATTGAAGTATAAATGCTGACTCCAGATGTACCTAGAGAAAGAAGCCATGCTTTTGTTTTCTTCTAATGACCGAAGCTATTACATTAAGCATATTTCTCAAGACTTTTTTAAAAAGCTTCTAGCTTTAAAAAGCCATTAGCCCTAATGTAGACATGTCAGGGGAACTGCAGATAAGGCTCCATGAGGTGCTTCTGGGCCCCAACAGACATAGTATACAGACAGACATGTACGTCCAGGTGACACCCTCTTGAGATCCATACAGCTTTTCCTTTCCAAGAGAATATTGGCTGTGATCTCACTGGCATTTAGGGACACTTAAGAGCAGGGAAGGTGCTATTCTCTGAGAAGAAAATCATTATTTGTACCCCCTTTTCCACTCACCCCAAGAGATTGCCCAGTTCCCACATCAACTAAGGCATAATCCTTCAAAAGAGGACAGTTTTCTAACTCTAGTGACACACTCACTGGTGTAGTGACCCTAATGGATCTTCCTGATTGTTGTGCAGATTTGGGGACCAGCCTGTTTCCATTGGGTTAGCAGAATCTGTTCTCTCCTGTCATAAAGATTCTGACTAACATTTCTTACCTCTTTCCAGAGAAATTACCCAAATTGTTAAAGCAAGGCAGCTACAGCCACAGAGAGAGTACCTGTGCCTCAGATGTGCAAGGCAGCTGGGCCCATGTTCGTCCTCCCTTCACTTAAAATATCCACCTTGGACCTTGGATCTGACAGTCACAGTTAGCTCAACAGTCCTATACATGACCCTCAGTATAGCTCAGGCCCTGTTCCAGCCCTGCAGCACCTGAGGGGATGACAACTCTCCTTTTGGTTTAGAATGCTCATATTCTCATTTATTCAAGTACATTGTAATTACAAATGTATCTGTTAACTGGATGAATCAGGAGCATCATGAAAGTATGAACTGGATTTTATTAATCTTTGTATCCAGAGCATCTAATGTTTGCCTACATTCCATCAGAGCAGAGTCATAAACAGGAAGCCCTTGGGTAAATTCAGTTTGTCCTGCACAATGTTTTGTTTTGTTTTCAACTTTTTATTGAAGTGTATATTACCAAAAAATAAGCACATCATAATGGTACAGTTCAATTAATTTTTACAAACTGATCCCCGATCAAGAAATCCCAGCATTCGTGAATCTATCCCCATGCTTCTCAAAGAAGTCGCTGCTGGACTTCAGCTCCGTAGGTTATTTCCAGAACTTTATATAAATGAAATCATATTGTGCATTCTCTTTTGCATCTAGCTTTTTTCATTCATTTCAATGTTATGCTTTTGAGATCCACCCATGTCATTGAGGTTAGTGGTAGTTCATTTTCATTACTGTATAGTATTCTGTTATATGAATAAGCCACAGATTATTTCTATATTCACTCTTTTGGAGTGCTGCTATGAATATTCTTTATTCATAGGTCATATACGTGGAATTGCTGTATTTAAAAATTACAACATTTCAACTTCTCTTAAAAAATCAAGTTTTGCCAATGTATGATTCCTATTTTTGCATGGCATCAGTGATCTGTGGGATGTATGTTTTTCACTTCTCTGCTCACAGAAAATGTCTACGTCACCCACCCAAGCCACTCTCCTCAGTTGAATTGTCTGTATAGCCCTTCTGGGTGCAGTTTTGCCACCTGTATCTCAGGAGATGGGAGGCAGTTCCTGTAAGATTGTGTTTCTAAAGGTATGTTACAGCCGCTTTCTGTTATCTGCTCTGTGAGCCTTAAGCTAGTCTTCTAACATCTTGCTTTGATCTTTGGTCAGAGGGCTTGGGGAAAGAAATAGGTCCTGGAGTATAATGCTGGGGTGGGGGGTAGTATATTTGGCTTATTCACTCTATTGTGCAGATAATGTGATAGAGGTATGGGTCCCGGGCCCAGCTCCCCACAGTCTTGGGCTATGGCATGGAAAGCTTCACCTCACATCTGCCAGAAATGGTGCAGCAGGCGTGAACATGCCATCTGGGAAGAAACTAGAGTTTTACCCACCCCTTTCCAGGTTGTCATTCCAAACAAAACACCATACCTACTCTTTCCTAAGGCATTGTGAGGAGAAAAATCTTCTATTTTTGGTTCCTAAGGGTGTCTTATGGAGGGGACCTAGTTCTTTTCTACATGTTTGTTGTTTGTTATTTGATTTTTTGCCTCATTGGGCTTTGGTCTAAATATTAATCTAGCTGCATTATAACAATATCTTTAGGAATCATGAGTTATCTGCATATTATGTTGTAAATAATACAAATTACAAAATGAGAAAGTAGTATTCTCTCTACTGACAGTTTATCAACAGAAATATTGATTGCTATAAAAGAAACTTTAATGCAGATTTCTTTTTCTTTGGCCCTATATATTCTAACCTTTGTGAAAATGAAAATACTTGCTTATGCCAACCTCTCATGTGGTTTCTCAGACCCTTTCCAGAACTACTTCTGGTCTAGACATGGACAGCAGTGGTCAAAATTCAACCATAAATAAGAATAGGGAAGGACCTTAGAAATCATCTCATACAAATAAAAGTTTGATGGGTGAGGCAGGAGTGTTAGGAGCCAGCCGCATGTGTCATAGGTGCTCTGTTGTGTACACACAACGCCTACCAGAGCACAGGTGTTTTGAATTTTCTGATGTTCATTAGCAAATATCTGGTGTCCTCTCACCTTCTAAGTGAATTGGAATGGATTGTATAATGTTCTCTTATAGTAGTATCTATAAGGAAGGCCGTCCACCCATCTGTTCATTCAACAAATGGTATAAGTGCTAAGGAGAGAAGCAGATGGAGGTATGGGCATCAGGGGTGCCCTCACTGTCTGATGACAGAGTCACAAAGACCTGAAGGCTGCAAGGGAGTATGCCATGCAAATACCCAGTTTAGGAATATGCTAGACCATTGGATCCTAAGATGTAAATATATATAACATAGAGTTTTGCAAATAGTAGATGCTCACAAAAACTTCTGTGAAGGAATGGATGATTAAGATTTCACGGACTTTTAATATTCAGGTGTCCCTCATGGTACACTAGGTGCTTTGGTTTATAATGAATTTGCTTAATACTGTATATAGATTGTGACCTATCAGCAGAATTCCGCCTACAGATTGGAGGATATCATATTTTTAAAGACCAGGAAATTTTATATCAAAGTCTAAATTTACAGCATATCTTGAAAAATATGATCTGACTCTGACGCCCTGCATGGCTATGATTCACTGAGCTCATAGGAGGTGCCTCCCTGGTTCTCTGCTGCCCTGACCTTGCAGCATCTTCCTCACAAGCCCTGTCCTTGCAGGGACTAGCTTTTGCAGTGTCACAGGGCTGAGCTTGCTCTTGTCGTCCTACTTGAGGTTTCTGGTTCTGAAAAATGAATTAATGTCATAAATTGTCATTTAACGTGAATCAGTTGTATTTATGAAAATGAAGGGCTTATACAATTTAGTTTATTATATTGTGAGGTTGTCAAATATTTTTAAGGAATGTCTCAAAAGTCACTTTGCTTTCAGGAATGTGTAAAGGTAATGATTTCCCACCTCTTTCCACGGAGATGACCTGAGAGCAGTGAGCACATCTGGCTTCCAGATCTGTGTTTCCAAATACTATTCTCACTAGAAGGAACCAGGGCTCCTTGGAGAAATTTCCAATAACAGGTCTGGGCCAGGGAAAGTATGAGGTGTGCCTGCAACAGCTTATTGTACCAAGAAGTACAAAGGTGAGCAGAGTTTACTAAGGACTCAGTAAAGGAACATAGAAGCCTCTATGAAGGGGCAGTTTGAGCATCTCAAAAAGAATAAGATGGCAATGGATTATAACATGTCAAGTACAAAATCCTTTTTATAACAGAAAAGAGAGTTTAAAAGTTCAGAGCCAGTAATCCCTGCTACTCAGGAGGCTTAGGCAGGAGGATTGTTAGAACCAAAGAATTGGAGGTTGTGGTGAGCTCTAATTGTGCCACTGCACTCCGACAGAATCAGACCCCATCTTGAAAAAAATAAAGAGGAAAAAAAAAAAGGTCAGAGCCTCTCCTTATAGAAGAATGCCAGCTGATGAATGCAGAACAATAATAGAAAATCACCACTGTGAAACTTCCAATGTAATAATTGATTAGGCAAAGATAATGAATGGAAGCTAAAACCATTAAGTGAAAGTTTCCTGGATGGCAGGATATTCACAAGGGGAAGAAGATACCACCTTAACAAATGACTCAGCATCACCAATAATGGGACAAACTGACATTTTGTGCCTCCTGATATTATGCAAAAAGAAGTATATGACATCATCTATGTAGGATTTTTGCGAAAAATGCTCCATCTAAATTAAATCATGAGGGAAACAATCAAACAAATGCAGATTATGGGACATTCTACAAGATAGCTGGTTTGGACCCTTAAAGTGAAGGTGTGAGAGGCAGATGTAAGAAGGGAATCACTACTCTAGATTAAGGGAGAATAATGGGCCAGTACTTGAATCTTGATTAGGTCTTGAACCTCACACACAGCCACATAGGCCATTATTAGGACAATTGAGGAGATCTTATATGTTAGGTGTTACTAAATCAATGTTAAATTTCTTGGATTTGGTAATGGGAGAGAATGTGTTAATTGTCTATGGTTATTAAGAAAATTTCTTTGTTCTTAGGAGTTTCATACTGAAGTATTGGG